CTAACTTTTTAAACTTTCTATTGGATTTCAATCACCAGCGATTACGGACGTTCCGCCACCACACCACTTCATAATCAAGGTAATATTGTAAGCCCCCTTGAATTTTAATATACCTATTAAATAAACCGTCAAACTTAATTGTATTTCAAACTAAAACCTGGTGCTTTTGTTTTCTTATCTTTCCAATAAAAAACACTGGTGCACTTATCGAGTCTATACCCATTAAGTCGCCAGGGTTTTTCATGGTCCATCTTCGCCAGGAACTATAATTAACCAGAGCAAAGCAAATACAGTCCACTGCAGCTAAACAAAGGCGCCATTCTTTGAATATACCAGCGGTCAAGGGTCACTAGCGGTCTCCAGATTATTACATCTGCGTATACAACCGTCCGCCAGCATCAACTGGAGAATTGCCACAAACACCAGCGTGAAGTTACAATAAGTCGGGAACGTACCACATCAGTACACAACACCCAAATTAAGCACCAGCACCACATTAAAAAACATTCAGGAGTTTTAAAGGTATGTGGTTGACATTTCAAATTTCTTGCACATTCTCGTATACGTAATACGGCAAATATTTAAAATACCAAAAACCTGCGCATATCCAAAATTATCGCCAGTGATCTTGTGGAAATCATCAGTGCATTGATATCACTTTTTGTGTTCTTTCGCACTTAATTAGTAAATAACGTTGTGAACAAATATCTGCAGCAATACACAAGTGTGGGTTAGAGTAGATTTTTTCTGTGCTTAACACCACCTCAGTTGTTAGTGTAACCTTAATTTATAGCGAGCACACTTTTTACAAGTTTTTTTGTTTTTCTTATTATATTTAGTTTCGTGTTTTCAAACTCACTTATTCAAATTTGCAAAACATCGATTTTATTATTTTTCACATCGAGTTTGCTTTCAATATTTTCAAACAATCGTGTTGCAAGCATTTGTTAATTGGTCAAATCATCGGCACTAACAACAATTCACTGAGTTGAGGATACATAACCTCACTTGTGACTGCACTTGTTACACACATTTGGTTTCACATTGGGACACTTTTTAACTTCTGCAATTCTGCATCCACAAGATCACTTTGAACGATTAATCAACAAAAATAATATATGCGTAGCACAGTTGAATTATTTCACATTTATACACAAATATTTCGCTGAGAGTTGGGTGGCGAGTATCAGTTCCTGTAATCTTAGAAGATTTTCATTAGTGTACGCGAGTATACATAAATACATATATTTACATACATATATTACGCTTGATATTTAATAAATAATTTGATATCCGTGCGAAATTGCACCTAAATTGCGGTGTTAACTTATTTGATTGTGGTGGTTTATTCGCTTAAAACTTTGGGAAAGTTATAATTTTCGAAGTGCTCTCGTAACTTATTTTCATTAGGATCTTAAAAATGGAAACATTTATCCGATTAGCTGATGTTGTGCCTGAGTTTGAGGCCGACTACAATAGCATGACTGAAACGGAGCACACAAAATACACTCTTGCCATCCAGCAAGAGGAACTGAAAGCCATGTGGAGGAAAGCAAAGATAGCGTACGAAGAGTATTTGAGTTCAGGTGCGGTAGAAGCAAAATCAGCCTCAGTGAAGGCTAAGTATAAAAGTACCTATTCTACTTATCTGCGCTGCATGTCGAACATGGCAGAACTCCATGCGAAGCTCGTCAAAAGTGACAAAGATACCGAGGATATGTCGGCCAGAGAACACAACATCCATCTCCCACCGTGTGATACGGATGTGTTCAAAGGCGATTATCTCTCGTGGCCTACATTCCGTGACATGTTTACGGCCATTTATATCAATAATAAGCGCCTCACTCCTGTAGAAAAGTTGTTTCATTTGAACCAGAAAACTCAGGGGGAGGCCAAAGAGATAGTTAGCAAATGTGATGTTACAAACGAGGGCTTCAATACTGCATGGAAAAACCTTTGTGATAGGTTCGAGAATAAACGCATTCTAGTGAATTCGCAGATAAAGATTCTTTTTAACCTAGAGGCAGTAGAAAGTGAGTGCGGTACTTCATTAAAAAAGTTACAGCGAAATATTAATAATTGTTTATCGGCTTTGCGATGTCATCAAATTGACGTATCCAATTGGGACGCCATCGTTACATATCTCTGCTCCACGAAATTGCCAGAGAGTACGTTGGCTCTTTGGGAACAAACAATTGAAAATAAAACCGAAATTGCCAAGTGGGAGGATATGGATAAATTCCTCTCTAATAGGTTTCAAACACTTGAAACAATATCAGATATTAAAGCTGTAAAACACCCTCGATTTTCAAAGCCCCAAAATAGCAAAAACAATGAAACTCAGAAAAGGCACGGGGCCTACCAAGCAAGCGTAGCCAAGATTCTGTGCAAATTTTGTAAAGGCAATAATCACAAACTGTCAAAATGCCAAAAATTTCTTAAAATAACAACGGCAGACAGAATCGCCTTCATTAAAAATAATCATGGTTGCTTGAATTGCTTATCTTCTGGACATACTGTGACTAGGTGTACATGCTCATTTAATTGCAGCGTCTGTCACCAAAGACACCACACGCTCCTTCACATTCAAGCATTTCAGCCAAAAGCAACTATGAACCAAAGGCATCAAACAAACGTATCCGATGGGTTAGAGAACATCGCGTCAACTTCTGCTCAAGCTCAGGCAAGACACGATGCTTCCAAAGCAAACAAAGGACCAACCCAAAATGTCCAATCCTGCTTTGCTAATACCAACATAGGAATTCTATTAGGGACCGCCCGAGTCAATATATATTTTAATAATACAAATTTTTCGGCCCGCGCTCTAATAGATTCCGGATCGGAGTGCTCTTTCATTACTGAAAGACTTAAGCGTAGGATTAATCTGCCCTCGAGGAGGATACAAGCTCAAGTATCTGGAATAAATAACACAGTCTCAGCTCAAGTAAAAGAGGCGTGTTTTATACAACTGCGGTCACCAATTGACCCACTGATCAATATAGATACCACCGTGTTAGTATTACCACAATTAACTGGAAATCTACCGACTTGCCAAATCGATGCTAGGACTAAGCAAGCGTTTCCAGAGTTAGTTTTAGCAGACAAGAGATTTTATGTAAGTGAGCAAGTTGATCTTGTCCTCGGTGGAGATATTTACGCACAAATAATGCTAGGCGGTATAAGGAAAGACGTACTGGGAACTCTTCTTGCTCAGGAAACCGTCTTCGGCTGGATTCTCACCGGTCAAACTGACACAAGTACCCCAGCGAATAAGTGCGTATCATTTTTTAGCGAAATAAATTTAGACAAACGCTTAGCGTCCTTTTGGGAATTGGAAGATATCCCAAGAAATAAGACCTACAACAAAGATGAAACCTATTGCGAGGAACTTTATAAAAGCACTACTAAACGGAATAAAGCAGGCAAATATATGGTGTCACTGCCGTTCAAACAGGATTTTCCAACTAACGTACGATTAGGTCCGTCACTTAAGATCGCTTGCTCACAATTTTTTCGAAGTGAAACGCGTTTAGCAAAGGATCCACCTTTACAATCAGAATACAATAGGGTCTTGTCTGAATACGAGACATTGGGCCACATGACTCGGATTCCTGAACATATTCCTGGAGACGAATGTGAGAACTACTTCCTACCTCATCATGCTGTCAGGAAAGAGGAAAGCACTACCACCAAAGTGCGAGTAGTCTTTAACGCATCGTGTCCGACTGCAAACGGAGTCAGTCTCAACGACATCCTCCACCCAGGTCCAGTCCTGCAAAGTGACTTGACAATTTTAATATTACGGTGGAGACTATTTCAATATGTGTTTAACAGCGACATCGAAAAGATGTATCGCCAAATTTTATTAAACCCTGATCAAACCAAATATCAACGTATTGTTTTCCGAAAAAGCTCAAGCGAACCAATTAATTTATATGAACTGAACACGGTTACCTTCGGTGTTAATTGCGCACCTTACTTAGCAATTAGAACCCTACTTCAATTAGCTGACGATGTAGAGAGTCTATATCCTGTAGCTTCAGATATATTGAAAAAATGTATGTATGTCGACGATGTTTTAGCAGGAGGACATACCATCGAATCTACCATCAAAGCTAAAGACGAGGTATCAATGGTTTTACAATCTGCTGGATTCCCGCTACGAAAATGGACATCCAACTGCGAAAAAATACTGGAAGGATTACCCAAATCACACCTTTTGAACGAAGATTTTTTGGATTTTGAGGACACCAGTACCGTCAAGGCGTTGGGCATCAGATGGAATGCCCATTCTGATAAGTTTTATTTTACTGCCAAGCCATTGGAGACTGAGGTTCGCTTTACAAAAAGAGCAATACTTTCGGCTATTGCAAAATTATTTGACCCATTAGGATGGCTCGCGCCATTTGTAGTTACAGCAAAAATTATAATGCAAGACATTTGGTTGGAAGGAACAGGTTGGGACGAAATTGTCTCAACTGCATCGTCCGATCGTTGGCAAAACTTTGTAGAGAGCTACTGCCACATCGACAAAATTCGTATTCCTCGTTGGGTATACTTTTCTCCTACAGATAAAATAGAACTTCATGGCTTCTGCGATGCCTCAGAAAAGGCATACGCAGCCACTATTTTTCTTCGGGTTCAAAAAGCGGAAAAGGTATTTGTCAATCTTCTACTGGCTAAGTCCAGAGTGGCACCGGTCAAAACTATTTCGTTACCACGATTGGAGCTGTGCGGTGCTGTTCTGCTTGCAGAACTTGTTGAATCGATCGTTAGCAATCTCACTTTAGGCCAGTTTACCACACATCTGTGGACGGATTCGACTATTGTCCTAGCCTGGATTCGAAAACCTCCCTGCTCATGGTCAACATTTGTTGCCCATCGCGTAACAAAAATCATTGAGAAAGTTGGAAGCCAAAATTGGCTCCATGTGGATTCAGCATCAAATCCATCAGATTTAGCTAGCAGGGGTATTATTGCGCAAGAATTGGTAGCCTCTTCCTTGTGGTGGGAGGGTCCTTCTTGGTTGCAAGAAGAAAGAACACAGTGGCCCACACAGGAAAAGGACTATAAGACACAGTTAGAACAAAAAAGGGTACAGGTTCATGCGACCACGGCAGTCGATATTAGTAATGATATTCTTGAAAGATTTTCCGATCTACCGAGAGCTTTGAGAGTTCTATCATACGTACTGAGATTCTCCCAAAGAACTCGCCGTAACACTAGAGCTTCATTTCAAGCGGAATCTTGTTCGATTTCAGCTGATGAAATCAAAGCAACGACTCAACGCTTAATAATTATCTGCCAGAAGCAGCATTATGGTCAGGAGTACTCATCACTGAAATCGGCAAAATTAATAAGTCCAAAAAGTGAAATCTTGTCCCTGAACCCATACATCGACAAGGAAAATATAATTAGGACAGGTGGTCGCCTTGGAAAATCTTTAGATCTCGCTTATAACGAGCGCCACCCAATTATCTTTCCATATAATAGCAACTTGTGTCGTCTTATAGTCCAGTTCGTTCAAAAAGTATCACTGCATGGTGAGAATCAGCTTATGTTGCGCTTGATTAGAACGCAATATTGGATACCTCGAGTCCAGAATATGATCAAATCGACAATTCACAACTGTAAGATCTGTACGATCTACCGAAAACGGTCGCAAACGCAGCTTATGGGCATTCTTCCTAAAGAACGCACCACATTTTCACGCGCGTTTACTAACACAGGTGTCGACTTCACCGGACCTTTCGACATAAAGAACTACAACGGACGAGGTTGCAGGGTGTCTAAGGGGTACGTATGTCTGTTTGTGTGCTTTGCAACCAAGGCGATCCATTTGGAAGCCACCTCTGATTTAAGCACACAGTCATTCTTGGCAGCATTTGCAAGATTCGTGGGGAGGCGAGGGTGCCCAAAAAATGTTTACTCCGACAACGGTACCAACTTTGTCGGAGCTTCGCGATCGCTAATATCAGAATTCAAAGCCTTTATGGCCGAAGCCCGCAATAACACCATAACAAAATACACCCATCAAATGCTTACATGGCATTTCATTCCCGCCGCAGCTCCCCACATGGGTGGATTGTGGGAGGCGGGAGTCAAAAGTTTTAAATGCCACTTCACAAAAATCGCTTCAAACTATAAATATACATTCGAAGAATTTACGACCCTTCTATGCAGAGTTGAGTCATGCCTCAACTAGCGACCCCTCAGTCCCTCTTCAAACCAACCCTCAAACTTAGAGCCACTTACTCCAGGTCACTTCTTAGTCGGCGGGCACCTTCTCGCTCCTCCTGAAATAGACGCTGATGAACACCGTGCGTCGATTGTGAATCGTTGGCAAAGACTGAAGGCTCTACATCATACGTTCTGCAAGAGGTGGAAAACAGAATACCTGTCGGAACTCCAAAAGCGCAATAAGTGGAAATACCCACAAGCCAACTTGAAAAATGGAGACCTCGTCGTTATTAAGGAGGACAACCTACCACCTAACGAGTGGAGATTAGGTAGAATCGTTAACCTACACCCAGGTTCAGATAACCGCGTACGAGTCGTGGAGGTCATGACCGAAAGAGGGCAAGTCACAAGGCCATTAGTAAAACTGGTCTTATTGCCGCCATATAGAGAACAGGATGAGGAACAACCCAGCAACTCTGTCTCATCATCTACGTCGTCGTAAAAACCATCGCGAATTCCCCTTCTCATATACCTATCAGTTCCACTACCAAACCCGCAACAAAAATATGCAGTCTGCTACACACTGCATTGGCCTACATAAATACTTATGTAATACATATAACATCATGTCTTACAAGTCATCAACCAACAAAATACCGCAAAACCGAAACGCATATGCGTGTTTTACAAATATCATGGAGTCGTAAGATTCCTTCGCAGAGATTTGGAACATGAAGTCACAATCAAAATTCGATAACGAAATCAAGAGTCAAACAAATCCCCGACTGTTATCCTTTCTCATTTACCAATTTTTTAAGCTTTAATGTTGAATGATCTTGGGAAACTCTTTGAATACTGTAGTTAATCAGTAAGTGAAATGTTTCAGTATCCGAAATCAAACAAAATTATCGAATTCCGGCTGTAGACTGCATGCGTTCAAGAGACAATTTTGTGAAGTAATCTTCAGCACATAAATGATCATTTACATATGTACTAACATAAAAACGTAGAGCCGAACCTCAAAAGAGATTTGTACAAGGATTGCGCTGTGTTTAATAGGCGTGTTTGGCACGCCTACACACAAGACTTCGCATATGAACCGTTTCGACGGTAGTAGAAAGAATTTTGGAATACCTTAAAGGCAGCATGATTTTATAGAAAACTAATCGGAACTTTGTTTGCATACAAAAGCATAAAAAAAAAAAAAAACCAAAGTTTGCCCCAATCAGTTTACTAAGCAAACGTAAGAAAATTATTGGAGTTCCAATAGTTTATTCCAAACATAAAAATCAGGTTTCTTTAAGGTATTTACTTTAGGTTCAAAAGAGGGTGTGTTGCATTCGCGTAAATTGTATATAGAAAATACCTTCACTTAAGAAGGCCTACCTGACTTATCTTCTGGGATAATTTAATCGCATGATCTTTATTTTCAACAAAAAAAAAAAAAAAAATAATCGACCCAGCCTAATGTGCCTATGCAGATCCTTTACACAAATGAGAATGAAAGTCCCTACCAGAACAGGTTATCCAGACTACCATTAACATTTTTGTTTTTCAAATCCTAAACGCAAACGCAAATTACTACGAATATTTACAATAAACAAACGTAGGAAGAGTTTAGAAACTTTAAATTCTGATTTTTACTAGGATAGCTACCCAGTTTGTTCTGGTAAAGTTATTCCATTCAACAAACTATTCAGTGCTACATAAACATTAAACAAACAAATAAATGGAGCCACTTACCCTAACCCGTTCGACGTTGGTTGACTCGTCGACAAACATAGCTGCAGCGTATTAACGTTTTTTTTTAGGAAGCCATTTAAAAATTTGTAAAATAATCTCATCCGACAACGAGCTAAAATGATCCTTTCCATCGTTAACATGATCACGCAACTGTTGTTGTCGAAACAAGAAGAAATTGTCATATAAAGCCATATGTGGATGCTGCTCATTAGGTTTTTGCTTCTGCTGATGTTGGCTTAGATTTTGAACTTGCCTCTGCAACTGCTGCTGTTGAAGCTGTTGTCGCTGTTGTTGTTTGATTATAGTTATCTGCTTGCTGGTTGAAGGCATGGGCATGTAATTGGATGCATATAATATAGGATTGGGATTTGTTGAGTTATTTATTGTAGCGATGCCATTACCTCCTATGCTCTCATGCTGTGAAGCATTTCTTACTGTTCGATTATGGTTGTTGCCAGAAACTGTAGCCAACGGACTGCGTGTGCTTCTGCCTGCTGAAGGCGAGTTGGAATTCGAATTTGTAACATTTGGTTGTGATGCAGACGCGGACGACGAACTACTGCCTGCACCCACACCAAATATAGCGACTTTCCTATATTGAGGTAATACTTTATCTACATTTTTAGATTGACATTGTTGCAGCTGCAACGTTTGTTTGCTTTCGTCACCAAAGGAGTCTAATGTATTGTTGTTATTATTATTGCAATGTTGATGATTTGCATTACTACACTCGGGTTCAATATGGCTGATGTTGGGGCTACCTATTATTGTATTATTTTCACTGCTAAGCGTACTGTCCAAATGTCGGTAGGAAGCAATACGATTGTGACACATCTTTGGTGCATCCAAATTTGGAGTAACCCCATTCGAATTTTCATCTGTACTTGGTGATGAGTTTGTTTCAATTTTAGCTAGTTTCCAACTGTTGATGGGAATAGTTTTGACACGTTTTCTGAATTCTTCAATTTGCGATCTCAGCGAAGATCCACCTAAACAAAAAGACTGCAGATTACATATACTAACAATACAAACGAAAAAAAAACCTGCACCGCCTTTTGTTTAACAACAAGTAAAATTGACGGAAGACAGCACATCTTCGGTCGCAGCTAGCTCAATTGGATTGGAGCACCTCTCACCTCTGCCGCTTCTGATTCTGTCGCGCCGTTGGATGTGCTAATAGGCATATTTGTGAATTTAAACTTTTGCGTTATTGCGCGTAGTGAAGAAATATTTTCCGAGGGGCTCTCGTCGGTGGAAGGTAGAGAATACGGTCCGGCCGATTCTTCCGCGATGCGACGAATTCCCCATCCATCCTTCAGGTCCACTGGGTTTTGACGTGCAAGGATGGGGTGCTTAATTGCGTGAATGGTATCCGTGACATATTTCTAACGGAAGCTGAAAGCAGAAGGTGAAAAATATTCAATTAAAATATTGTTGACAAAAATACACTACTTACCGTCTCGTGTCATTCAGGAAATGCTTGACTTAGGCTGCAATTCGATGAATGAAATGTCAACAATGATCGTAAATTTTACGCTATGTGAAAGCAACACCGCCTCAGTGTGGCACAGGGTATCACAAAAAAAAAAAAAATAAATAAATAAAAATAAAAAAAAATCAAGACTCCTCCACTTCAACAACCACGACTGAAAACGGAAAGGTCGCGCTATATGCAAAGTAAAGTTTATTTTATAAAAAGCATGATTGTTGTATTTTATTCGGAAAACCTCAATTCGAGCTCAGCCCCATTGAAAGAAGAAGAAGTGTTGTTTTCGAAACCTCGATAACTTTATTGAAACTTTGTTGAAACTAATTTTTGTATTGAAACTAACTGTATTGAAACTAATTTTTAAATTTATGTAATTTCTTCGCTCTCTAAAAGGGCTATGGATTCGGGTTCACAAAGAATCCTGTACAATATATATATATATACATATATATATATATACATATATATATATATATACATATATATATACACTTATTTTAATGCGACTTTGTACGATAGCGCCCCCACGCAACTGATGAGCTTTGCTTCTAAATTGTTTTTGTTACATATGTTCGGCACCGAATATCGAAAGTCCCGGATACCTTTAAAATCGGTACCGAGTTGGTATGAGTACTCATATGTGTTGACTCATCACATCTCTAATGTAAGAACGTAAGTTCAATTTACGCTCTTGGTTGACAGCGCAGCCAGGATTAGGACTCCCCTACGATCGGTAAACTGAAAATCTACTACGCAACTCGATACCGGCGAACTCCTTAGATTTGCTCGGGACAAAGCAAAGCTTATTAAATATGCATTTCCTTTTAATAAAATCATGAGTTAATCAATTTTGAAGTGCCCTCCAACTTAGGAATATCAAAATAAATCATTAAGTTGTGATACTACCAAGCACATTCATAAGCACTAGCGGTTGAACCGATTCAGCGAAGTCCCGCACCATGCGAACAAATAATGAAACGGTTTATTCTTTCGGGTGGGAGGCCAAGGTAAACACACTATAGTCATTCTTTCACCTAGTGTACGATATAAGCGAATTATTATTCAGCCACTATACACTGCAGGGCATGGAATTAGTCCTCAAAAAATAAAAAAATAAAAATAATAATAATAAAGTAAAATAAAAATAGTAATAAGAAATGTAAATCATTAGCAATTAAATATGCGTATGTATATATGTATAACTTGCCACCCAGCTAAGGTTTTAAAATACACAATGAACCATAATTGTGCATACGGCGATAAAAAGGGGGTTTAACTTTACAGAATGCCTCGCTTCACGGCCACCCGCACTAAGACCGAAAAACGTGTCGATCATTTTAAGATTCCTTGTCGGTTGTGCGGTAACAACCACGGAGTACGACTCTGCCCCATATACCGAGGGAAATCCGCAGAGGAAAGGTTGCGGGCGATTTTGATACATCGGTACTGTCCCAACTGTTTGTCGCCATTCCATCGGATCGAAATATGTGGAAGCAATGACCGATGCCACCGCTGCGGCGAAAAGCACCATACCTCCCTGCATATTGAAGACTACGGCGATCCAAGGGAAACGACGGAAAATCACCCCGATAACGACGACGGCTCTGACGGAGCGATTTCGCTCTACGGTTCCGATCAAACGACGTCATGGGCGAAGCAGGTAGAGGCAGAAGAGGTGGAAAGACGGGAAGAGATAATCCCTTCACCACCAGACGGCGGCTTGAAAACCCGCAAGATTCGACCGCCGCTACAGCACGAACTTGAAGCAGACAGTCCCATTCCAGCAGTGCTCACACACACACAGCCAACGGGCGGTCAACGAAATGACGCGGAAACTAGTCCTTTTCGCTCATATCGGCGCGGAACCAATTCTGGCCACCGAGATGACGCGGAAACTCGTCCTTTTCGCTCATTTTGGCGCAAACGTAATTGCAGCCAGCGTGATGGCGCGGAAACTCGTCCTTTTCGCTCGTCGCGTTGGCAAGCAATAAGGGCCGCACGACACCGACGTGGCGACCGTTCCTCCCTCACCATCCAACGCATTCCATCGGGTGGATTCCGGACAGGCAAGTTAAAAACAATCGCGGTTCCAGCACCAATAATGCGCTCATTCGTAGCCATCGCCCCAACCGCAATTGTACGAATCGAGTCAGGCGGCCGACTTCATCTGGTGCGGGCGTTGATTGACTCTTGCGCCCCCAGCAGTACCATCGACAGGGACCTAGCACGGGAGCTTCAGCTCGAAGTCAGCAACGCCCGCGCGAAAACATGTTCCCTCGTGCTGCGAGGAAAGTACGGGGTCGCGGAACGAGTAATTACTCAGGCCAGGCTAGTTACGCGATACAACCGACTCAGCCCCGCGGCTAACATCGACCCAACGATAGCGACGCCGTTTCAATTTATGCGTCTGGCGGATCCACAGTTCTATCGGGCCACCCCCACTCGACTAACACTTGGCGCTGATGTATACGCCCAGGTCATGGTATGTGGCACTCCGCCAACAACGATCGGCGGTTTACTGGCGCAAGCTTCCATGTTCGGGCTGATTATATCAGGAGCTCACCAAATGTGACAAAATAGTTAAAATTTTATATTTAGTATTCATGAATACATACCGAATTTAAATAAAAGTGCAATGAAATGATCAACCACACCTTTTTTTCCTATTAGCTTTTTCTTCCATTTTTCCCCGTAGCTAGAGATTGCAAGGAGGACCGGAGAACGTGCGGACTAGATCCCCGGGCAAGGACCAATCTGCGGCAGAATTCACAAAGTTAAAGAACATAATTTACAATGTAAATAAATGTAAATGTAAGGTGTGGTGGCTGAACCATCCTTGAAACGTTGCTTATAGCAAGGGGGCCGGTATGTTTAGGCCTCCACGCTAAATCAAATACTTAAAGTAAATTATCGGGTGTACCACCCTAATGTTAATTTAACAGATGCACACACATACACATTCGTATGTGAAACAAGACAAAAAAAAAACTGCACTTTTCCTGTCAGTGCACCTTCGTTAAATTTCCCCTG